GGGCAGGCAGGGGAGGGGGAGTTGGAAATAACCCTGACGTACACACTCATTGGTGCACACAGATGTGGGCTCGCACATGAGTACAGACAACCCGGCACACAGCCAGCTGCCCTCACAGACCTGGGTGGGTAGCTGCTGCCAGGAGCCCAGGATGGCTGCTGCCTCCCTATCTGGGAATACAAGCCCCATATTTCACAGACCTGGGCTGGGTGATGCCTGAGGGGGAAGGAGGTGAGGACAAGATGGAACCAGGGGTGCTATGCTGAGCTGTGGCTCCTATTTGGTGCCAGGAGCAAATGAACAAAGGGGCCTTTGGGTCCAGGACTTAAGCCTGCTTACTGCCTGGTCCCTCTGCTCCTCCACTGCCTGTCCCCCAGTTCCCGGTCCCATCCAGCTCCCCTTTTCCTTCCAACATGCCCCCTGCCCCAGCATATGTCTAGTTCTGTAGAGCCTTCTAGAGTTAGGACTCTTTCTCCGGGTGCAAATGTAGGTTGTGTTTCAGAAGTACTGTATTCATTGTTACTGAATGTGTAGGAGTCATCTTTTAATTAACTGAATTGGTCTGAACAATTTTGTACTAGGATTTTCTCTGGGGTAGGAAATCCTAGTTCTTCCTGCTTCTCAGGAGAGTCCATAACTCCAAACAGGGGAGAGAATGGAGCTGTGTTATAATAGGGGTTCTACTTCCAGAGATACCCTGTGGGAAGGCTAATCATATTGCCATGAAGCCTCACAGCCCTGCAAGTCAAGGACATCCATGTTTTACAGTTGAAGAAATGAGGCTCAAAGAACAGGAGGGACTGGCCTCAGGTCACTCTGGGCACACAGGCCATGGTGTTCTCACTCACCCCAACAACAGCTGGCTCTCCCATATAAAACCAGGTGGACAGCCACCACCAGGGCCTCCAGCAGGGAAGAGAGACAGGTCATCAAGGGAGAGACAGCTCCCTGAGGCCCCCAGATCTCTGTTCCCATCCCCCCATGCCCCTCTAACACCCCACCTCTCCAAATCCTCTCCACTTTCTCATAGCATAAGCAAATCCTCTTCAAGAAAGCTCTGCACTCCTCCCCAACAGCTGGAATGGCAAAGGAAATCACATTTGTCTCCGATGTAGGGGAGTGGCTCTGGGGCTGCCGGCAAGATGGCTTGGTGGCATGGCTCACCCATGTTCTGGACAGTGCTTATCCTGTTGACCATTCCTTCCTCCCACTCAACTCCTGCCCATGCCCTGCCAGCTTCCAGCCTTTGAAGGAGCTGGCTCTGCCAGGCCTCCCTCCACTGCTCATGCTAAACTGTTTCAGTGTGTGTCTCTCTCATGGCTTAACTGTCATGGTGGGTCAGCAAGACTGCCTCCCCTCCCAGACCTTACTGCAGAGACTGCTGATCCCAGGCCAGACCTCCATGGTTCACAAGGAAACCAGAACCCAGAGAGGGGCAACTATTTTCTCAGAGTCACACAGCAAGTCCTTAGCTGGGCAGGGGCTGGGCCTCTCTGCTCTTTGCCCTTATACCCTGGTCTAGATGTGGCCTTGCCCACAAGACCAGTAGCTCCCTGAGAGCAGACCTCCTATTTGCTTTTCTCAGGGGTCTCCACTTCTTGCTGAGCACAGGACTGGACCCACAAAGGGGCATAGAGACCGCTGAGCCAACCAGGGGTTTCCAGACTGTGCCCAGGGTGCTCCAGGGCTTTACATCCCCATATCTAGAAATATAGGATACATGCCCCACCCTAATCCATGCATAGCAGTTTCATGGATTAAACATTTATAAATTGAGGTTTTATTTTTGATAAAGTATTCTGTGGCTTTAAAAAACTTGAAAACTAATGAACTGCTTTGAGTTAAAACATATTGAGAGCATAGGAGATTCAGACCAGATACAAGGAAGAACTTCCTGGCTTTCAGAGAATCCAAATCACGATTGTTACAAAGGACCCCTGGAAGTTGTCCTTCCCCAGGTGGACACAGTCTGGAGACCCAAAGGCAGGGAGCAGAACACAGTCCCAACTTCCTCCCAGCCAGGCCTGGGGGCCTGGCCTCTCATGCCCCAGCATCCCATTCGTAACCCTCCTAGAGCCAAATGGG